TTAATTTGCATGTGCAGGCTTGGAGTGACGACAGGAGACTGAAGAGGCTTGGCTTCTCCTCTGTGGCTGGAGCAAAGGCCTGGGTCCGGGGTGCCAGAGGAAAACTGATGCCAGCGGCCAGGGGAAAGAAGGCTTATTGCACAAATCTCTTAGTGCAATGGGCTTCTAGTCTACAATAATAAAAGCATAATAAGCAAATTGACCAAACAACCAAACAGCAAAACAACCTTTCAGACGACCTTCCAAACGACCACGCTATGACACGCACTGGCACCAGGCCCACCAATACTGGTGTGATGCAATTGGTTGGGGGGCCCTGCCATCACCCCACAATCGCCCCATAGAGGGAGGACCAGGCCATCCTTTGTGGGGCAATTGATGGTGGGGCTCTATGATCGATCACCTGAAAGAGGAGGTCCAGGCCACCCTCTGCACAGTGATCAATTATGAAGACCTGGCCAGGTGGTCTGGGCCTCCCTCTGTGGAGCCACCAATTGCAGAGCCCCACGATCTATCACTTTGCAGAGGGAGGCCCAGGCTAGAAAAGTGATCACACCCCATGCTTGTCACCCACGGAGGGAGGTGACCATTGGTGGGGGAAGGAGGACAATGTCACACAGATGGCAAGCAGTGGCAGCTGCGGAGGCAGGGCCAGCTGCCACAGCCAGAAGAAGGAAAGCCCCGATAGGCCCTGACCCCCGGCCAGGCCTAGGGACCCTACCCGAGGGGTCCCATATTGCGAGAGGGCGCAGCCATGCTGAGTGAAACCACCCCATGCACAAATTTCATGCACCTGGTCTCTAGTGTCTATATATAAAAGCCTAAATGACTGAACGACCATTTGACCTGTTGCTGTGATGCGCACTGACCACCAGAGGGAAAACGATCAACACAGGAGCTGCCCCCTGGTGTTCAGTGCACTCCCACAACAGGAGCACTGCTCAGCTAACTGACACATGCCAGGCTTACAGCTAGTGAGTGCAGCTGCAGTGGTGCAAGCCTCTCCCACCTCCATGACAGTACACTACCCAGTGACGGCAGGCACAGCAGTGTCAGGATGAGCTGGAGGGGTGTGGCACCTGGCCCAGGCTCAGCCTACTCCAGGGCCACCTGCAGCTTGGCGTACTACTACATCCCTATGGGGATATTGGAAGGCTGTTTTGGCCCTATCCCCACGGACCCCAAGGGGTCCCGAATTGCAAGAGGGCGCAGGCCAGGCTGAGGGACCCCAATGGTGCATGAATCCGTGCACTGGGCCTCTACTATATACATGTGATTGGAATCCCAGAAAGAGAAGAGAGGGGTAATGAAGAAAAATGTTTGAAGAAATCATTGAAAATAGATTTTCAGAATTTGATGTAAATTATAAGAAGATCTAAGAACACTAAAGTACTCCAAGAAGAAAAATAAACAACATTAAATCAAGGCACATTGAAGTCAAACCACTGACCACCAGAGGGAAAACGATCAACACAGGAGCTGCCCCCTGGTGTTCAGTGCACTCCCACAACAGGAGCACTGCTCAGCTAACTGACACATGCCAGGCTTACAGCTAGTGAGTACAGCTGCAGTGGTGCAAGCCTCTCCCACCTCCATGACAGTACACTACCCAGTGATGGCAGGCACAGCAGTGTCAGGATGAGCTGGAGCCGCGTGGCACCTGGCCCAGGCTCAACCTAATCCAGGGCCACCTGCAGCTTGGCGTACTACTACATCCCTATGGGGATATTGGAAGGCTGTTTTGGCCCTATCCCCACGAACCCCAAGGGGTCCCGAATTGCAAGAGGGCACAGGCCAGGCTGAGGGACCCCAATGGTGCATGAATCCGTGCACTGGGCCTCTACTATATACATGTGATTGGAATCCCAGAAAGAGAAGAGAGGGGTAATGAAGAAAAATGTTTGAAGAAATCATTGAAAATAGATTTTCAGAATTTGATGTAAATAGATCTAAGAACACTAAAGTACTCCAAGAAGAAAAATAAACAACATTAAATCAAGGCACATTGAAGTCAAACTGGTGAAAAAGATAGAATGCCCAAGGGCAGCAATGAAAAAAACCACACATGATCAACAAACAGGATTAATAAAAACAACAAAAGTCAGATGGAAAACAACCAAAACCAGAAGATAATGGAGTGATGACTCTAAAGAGCTGAAGGAACATTGAAGGAACATCAACGTAGAATTCTAAACTAATAGAAAATCTATTTCAAAACTGGATAAAAATGAAATTACAAAATATCAAATTTTGTGAGATGCAGCTAGAGCAGTGCTTAGAGGGAAATGTATAGCATTGAATGCTTATGTTAAAAAAGAATAAAGATCTTTAAATCAATAATCTAAGCCTCTACTTTAAAAAATTGGAAAAGGGTGAGAACCAATTTGGAGGCAGAGGTAAATGCATGTTCTCACTGCCTCCCATAACCACTTGAAATGCACAACTAAAATAGAGAACAACCATCATTCCAGACTAGGGAGGTAAAGAGAAAGCACACTGAGACTGGTATGAAGGGTGGAGGTGGGGAGCAGGCTAGTCCTACACCCACATGCAGTGTTTTTAATTGGCAGGGATATCTCAGCTCTGGAGGCTTCCTGTGAAAAGTAAAGGGTCTGATTCCCACACAGCCCCCAACCCAGGGATCCAGAGCTGGGAAGAGAAGTCCTCAGAGCTTCAGGATGTAAATACTAGAAATGATTTTTGCTGAGTGACACGGAGGCAGCTGGAGACCCAGGCTGTTCCTCTTAAAGGGCCAGCAAAGGAACTTACAGGGTCCTGCTTCTTCTGAGCTCCAGGGGAAGGTGGTGGAATTAGAGGATTCAGGGACATTTGGGGAAGAACTGGATTGTCTGGTATTTGAGGCAGGAAATACGGGTGGCTTTCTCCCAGACAGGGCTACTCCCAGGGGTCATTGTTTCTGTGCCTGGACCTCCCCCATCACATAGCTGCCTCAGAGTCATATCTGAGGTTCCATCAGTGTGTCTCACACAGTTTGCTCTTCCCTGGTGATTCCCTGAGAACCCACCCCATCCAAATTGCAGCCCCACCCAAGCTTTTTGCAGCAACATTTCCATATGAATGGCTTGTCCTGGCTCAGGCTTCAGGCCTGGCCCTAAAATCTCTCAAACAAGCAGCAGCTGGCATCAGCGTGCCCCAAACCTCTCAATAAGAGACCCAAGACCTGGCACTAGCACCAGCCTGCCTTGCTCCACAACTTGTCCTCGCCTGGGCACTTCCATGCCCATCACAAGTAGCAGCCATCTGCAGATCCCCCTGTAGCTCCTGCTTGGTGGCTGCAGGCAGTGGCTGACTCTGCCCCTCCCAGGAGTCCCTAAAGCCAGGGCACACATTGGACAGCTTTAGACCACACCAGATTACAACTCCACACATTCAGGAGGAGGAGGAGGAGAAGGAGAAGCAGGAAAAGGAAGAAGGAAAAGAAAAAGAAGGTAGAAGAAGAAAAAGAAGGTAAAAGAAGAAGGAGGAGGAGGAGGAAATATGAACAAAGCCATAGCCAGTTTGTCTCAGTGGGTAGAGCATTGGCCTACTGATCGAAGGGTTCTAGGTTTGATTCTGGTTAGGGGCACATGCCCAGGTTGCGGGCAAGCAAAAGGTGGCTGACAGTGATTCTCTGTCATCATTGACCTCTCTCTCTCTCTCTCTCTCTCTCTCTCTTCCCCTCTGAAATTAATAAAAATATAAAAAACTAAAAATATGAACAAAATACTGGCAATAGATACATATCTATCAACAATTGAATCTAAGAACCAAAATAATGAACAAAGTATGTAATGAACAAAAATAACTGATGAATAAAATAGAACCTGAGGCATGGAAACATGGAACAGAATGATGAAACTCATAGGGAAGAGGGAGGGGAGAGTGGAAAGAGATGAACCAAAGAACTCATATGCATATAAATGACCTATAGACACAGATAGGAGGGTGGTGAAGGCCAGGATTGAGGCAGGAATAGGGTGGAAGGTGGATATGGTACAAAGGGGACATCAGTAATTCTCTCAACAGCAAAGATTTAAAAAAAAAGAAATTAGAAAAGGACGATCAAAATCGCGTAAAAATCAGGCAGCATGAAGGAAAAATACAGATGAACAGAGATTAATGAAATTAACAGAGAAAAATGATAGAAAACAGCTCATGATGCCAACAGCTGATGCCTTGACAAGATCAACAATACTAACTAATTGATCCCCTGCAGCCTGCCAAATCCCACCATGGCAAGCCAGGGCTCCATTTGTAAATGATAGAAATTCTCCCACTTTGAGAAGCTAGGAAACAGTAGTTTTGCACAGGAGCAGCAGGGAAGTGGAGTGAAATGTGTGCCTTCAGGAGGCAGCTATGTGCTTGTGAGAGTGACAGTAGGTTTGATACAGAGGTTGCAGCCACAGCGTCCAGCCCAGCCTCTCCTGCCTCCTCACATGTAGAGGTTCGAGTTTTGTGGAGGATCTGATTGAGGAAAATAACAAGGAGAATCTTTCAGTCTCAAAATAAAAGCATCATTCAATGCAAATTCTTATTCCCAAA